CAGTTTCTGTTAATAAAAAGTTTGAAAATAAGCAGCTTTGTCATAATGACAGCATAAATAGCAATATCTTAGCCTAGATAGTCAGGAATATTGTGAAGGGGGTGGGGGATGCTTTGAGTCAAAAAGATTGAGAAACACTGATCTAGAAGAAAATTTGTTGAAGTGTTTTTAAATAAGAGCCTTAAAGTTCTAGGAGTAAAAAAAAAAATCCCACCTTCTCAATCCATAAATATATTCAAGTTTTGTGTTGAGACCATTTTAGTAGAGTCTAAGTCAAGACTGAATAAAAATTCATACAAATATGTGACAAGATCACAAGGTATTTTTTTTCTTTCTTTTTTTTTTGAAACCAAGACTGAATTTCAGTGGGTTAGACCGAGGATGGTTGCATGGGGAGTTGTTACACAGTAAGTTTAACTTAAAAATTAGATCGAGGAATAAAATTACTATCAATGTCTCTGTGTACAAATATAAAGGATTTACAACAATGTTAAATAAAAAAATCAACATTTCACTTCTGGGTTGTAATTTCATTTGCACCTGGCACCTGTTGCCACCAGGTGCCACTTTCTATTAAATTAGTTTAGTCAATGAAATATCAATCAAATGAAAACAAAGTTGTGCCAGTTTTGCAACACAAACCAGTTTTTTGTTCGCCTTTATGATGGAAACAGTAATCATAAGATCAGTGATGAATTAGTTCCTTCCAGGCAATCTGGCAAGGCTACAATAGAGCTCCATAAAGTCATTAAGGCTAATATCAGGCTGTTCCCACTACTTTGCTTGCAGGCCTATTGTTGTGCTTAAAACAAGTGACCAGCATAACACTTTGTTTAAGGGCAACTTGCTGTACTTGGCAGTTTGAGTTTTTTCAAGTTTAACTTAATGACTGACAGACCAACATGTGGGTTTTGTAGGCTATATAAGGCCTACTCTTGATTTTTCTTGAGTTAACATCAGCAAATTCCCCTTAGTGACCACAGTGAAATATATATATATATATATATATATATATAAAAGAAGAAAAATCTTTGGATCAGTGTTGCATAATGATTGAATTAGGAGCTACGTGGACAAGCCTAACATGAACATCCTGTATGTTTTATTAGATCAGAAAAAAACCCCTGACATCCGATAGGAAATCAGATTAATATTTTCCACACTGTTCTGCTTTTTTTAAATTGAAGAAATGAAAGATATGCCATATATGATTATCTGACCATAGGTGCATATGGAGTTATTAAACCTTTTTGTTTTTTTTTGGTTTTTGGTTTGTTCTAAGAGATTTACATATAATTTAAAATCATTCATAAAATGTGACAAATTTGGTTCACATTGAGCCCACTTTTTCTTATGTATATGGTAGCCTATTTTCCTGATAAAATAAACAAATGTATAATATGTTGTTCTTTACATTTCAAATTTTCATTCTCTATATAAAAAAACGTATATAATATACACATTTATATCATACACTCCAGTTTTCTATTGATAAATAATTCTAAATCCTTCCAAAATAATCTTGAGTAAATACAGTGGAAAAATAGATGCAAAATAGTTTCTTTTTCTTGACCACAGAATTCACAGGTATATGAAATATTGAGCTTAAATCTTTCCAAAACGTGCTTAGTGGGATAAATTATATGAATTATTTTGTAAGACACTTCCTTCGTTTTGTTATTGATGCAGAACTTAGTTTATACAAATCCGCTTTATGACGCATGACGCTCAAGGGCCGCACGCTCAGCGTGTTAATGCAATGTAATGTTTGGTGAGAGATGAGTCTTGTATATGCGTTGACAAGTGTTTACAAGAAACTAAGTGAAGCAAAAAAGCGTTACTTTAGTGTATCATAGATAATATTGGTGGTTTGAGTTTTGGGTTTAATGACTCAGACTTAATATCTCTCTGAATGTTTGTTTCATGGTTTTGGGGATTTTTGTTTTGACATTGGGGAAGTTTTGAGAGTGCCACTAACAACATAATACAGCATGTGTCTAATATGAGCCACACGTACATTACATTCAGTTGATTTACTGACATAATGACCTAAAGACCTTAATTTGAAGGGGGAAAAAAATTAACAAATGGTACAGTTAAAACTGGAGAGACAAGGAAGTGGAATGTGGAGTTTGGAAGTGGAAAGTTGTTTACACAGAAAAACAATGGTAAAGCAGCCCAATGCAACTCAAAAATGCGTTTTGTGTGAACGACCCCTAAAAATTGGCTTAATATTTTTAATGATTCTATCCATATCTCTTTCACAGCTGCACTTTATAAACTGCTAATATCAGCCAAACTTTTAGCTGAACTAGTCAAGTTATTGCACATTAAAAACGTCATTTGGTCAGTGACTCACTGGGAGAAAAATTCCACCAAATGCTATTTTTTGCATTTTAGGCAAAATGAATCTGTTGGAAGAGGAATTCTCTATTTTTTTCTTGACACTTCTTCTTAAGTGCTATTTCTCAGCATGAATTTATTTCTATTATTTCTATTAGTAATACATTTCTATTTATTTTGCTGTTTGGATTTACAACTTACACAGTGCATGCGCATCCATGCATTCTATCTATGAGGTTTGTTCCATTATCCTTGAGCTCAGCGTTGCATATCATTCCTGGATGTCTGTTCCCAGATACTATCCCTGCATTCCATTCGGAAGGGCTCATCCCTATGCCCTAATTCCTTCAAAGGGTTTACCCTCCGGAGTGAGAGCTTCAAAGGGTTGAAGGGTGTAGGTGACCAAACAACTGTTTCTTGAAGTGCCCTTCTGCGTCATCATCACGTGCCCACACGGAGGCGCCGTCATCATGTAAAGAATCTGAGCAAAGGATCATGGGAGCCCGAAGTGTCCATCAGTTGTACCTTTCAAAATCCTTCATTCCGAAGGGCCATTTGAAGTGGCCAGTTTTGAGCACTTCGGTTTGAAAAGACCCTTCAATATGGCGGCCATGATTGTTTTCACTCCGTAGTGCCCTTCGGAGGGTGATATATCCCGTTTGGAACGCATCGTATGTCAGGGCTCCAGACTGCGACCATTTTTTCTGCCGGTGCGAGTAAATTTTGTGCGCGGTCGCACTGGTGCTACCACCGCGTTGTTCAATTCGCGCTGCCATTTCTGTCGCATATGAGAAATATCAAACGGCAAATGAAACAAAAGCAACAAAATCCCGCTACTTGTTTGAGCTGCGCAGCGCGGACCATTTATCAACGCGGACCGCGACACAAACAAACTTGTCCGAGCTCAGAACAGCTTTACTCAGGAACCAAAGTTGATTTCGCGACACTGTTACTGTTACTGCGCTGCGAGATCCAGCGAGAAGCGTTTGAACTCGCCGCAGAATGAATAAAGGTTGCTGTGAGGTCTAGTGAGATGCATTCAAATTCTGCACAGAATTCTCTATTATAAACAGATCAAACAGCGCTGACATAGAAAACAAGAAGCAGTAAGGCTAACTGTAACCATGGTGTTGTGGTAGAAATAGTCAAATGTTATCACATTATTAATTTCAGGGTTTGTACAACCTTTTGAGAGAGAAATTCAGGCAATTTTCAATGACTTACAAGCATTTCACACAGCTGTTGCCAGAACTTTAAAGCTCCAAAATGATTCAATTTGAATGTTATTTTCAATGGAATTACCAAAATGCACTGTGGTGAACAAACACTTGTGTAAAATAAAAAACAAACAAACACATCAAATCACCATTATAACCTGTAGATGGCAACAGAGGAGCACTGGTTGGCTTATTAGACAGTCATTTATAGCTACTTTTCCTTTATATTTTGAAATTTAACAATTATAAAATCACTAGGCTAAAATAATAAATCATCAAGAAATCAGAATGTGACAAGAGTTTTGCTCTTTTTGTGTGTGTGTATGAAGTAAGAAAAATCACAAAGTGCTTTGAAAAACGAACTTTTCTTCAATTTGCGACTCACACATAATCACTGAAGTTGTTGGTCAGTTCCATATAAGACTATAGAAGAATAATGGTACATTTAATAAGAGTACAATATATACCTTTTCTACATAAAAATGTAATTTACACGTTTAAACGTTACTTTTGTTAATAAAATAAATATTGTAAGCTTCCCAACTCAAGCTTAGTACTTTACTATCAAATGTGTATAAACATGAAGTAAACAAGAAAATAACATGTAATATTATTAGTAACTGCACTTATTAATGCAAAACAATAATAATTTTTTTCATATCCCTCTGAAATTAAAAGAATACTGCACATTGTAATTTCTATGAGTTCTATTTATTATCAAAGCATTTGTTAGTAATACAGTTAAAATGGGGAAAATATGTGAACAATTGCATTGCAGGCTGATTTAAGGTGTGCCCCTAAATTTTCTGCTTGTGCTCCTAACAACTTTCAGTCAGGAGCTACAGTGCTCCTAGTAAAAATAGTTAGTCTGGAGCCCTGTATGTGGTGTTGTTTATAGGTGGCAGGTGCCATCTAACAGTAAATGTCAGGAACTTTAAATGTTATCAGGACGAAAACAAACAGTTGGCAGCTGTGGCATCCCCTTAATAATCCCTAAACCAGATAGTTCTCTTGAATTTCTCTGACACCAGGTAAAACATTTCCCTGAACCTCAATATCATTTACAGACATGCAAAGGATGCTGTATGTTTACTTCCCTGAAGGGAGACGAGCATTTGTTTGTCTATGTAGATAACATACCTGCATGGAATTTTATTGGCACATGCTGCTACTTCATTCAGGTTACACCAACTGTGTTATTGGATAGAGGCCGCCTGAAAACCCACATAGTAACGTATAACATTTTTCTTGACTGATATGTTTGGAATTTAAATATAAACAAGTGGTTCCGCCATCTTATGTAATACTTTTTTAGTATCATATTTACAGATCATATGAAGGAGGTAGTGTGTATCGGTATCTTTTTTGTTTTTCACTGTTTCAGAAACAGTTAGAATTTTACAGCTTCATTTATATGACTTTAGTTCTTTTGTTTTACAGTTACAATCAAGATGCAGCACACCTCGTGCACAGAGGACCGGATCCAGCATGCTCTGGAGAGATGCCTGGATGGACTCCGGCCATCAGAAAACCTGACACAATCCTGGAACGGTAAGGCCACCCCACTGACCCTCTGCTGCTGATGGGTCACTTTTGTTTGGCATCACTGTTTTTCATTTCAATTTTTTTTTACTTCTGTTTGTACAATTTGTTTGTGTGTGCTTTTCCTTTATCATTTTTCTCATTGGTTTTCAATTGACCTCATGTTGCAGTTAGGGAAATAGAAGGGATTTGCCATTGAAATGGGCTTCTCAGTGTTAATTTACTCAAATAATTATACATGCATAATACACTTATGGGTCAGTGACACAACACTCTTTTTTTGTCTGCATCTATTAATTTATTCATGCACAGTAATAGCAGTATGCAGAAATAAGAGAGGATTCCTGCAGACCCTCGTGACTGTGTTGCAAGGTCAAAGTCTCTTAAAATATGAAACCAGCATGAATACAAACAGTACATATACACAAATTCAACATGTTTTAAACTAGGTTTTAAACAAAATATTCCCTTTCTTTATTGGGAACGTGATACCTTATATTTGTTATTGGCCCATGTAATTCTGTGACTAGGTGGGTGAAAATGCCAGCTGAGTGGGCATGTGTCTACATCAGCCCACCCACATCTGATTGTAGCATTTAATTGTGTGAACACAGCAAAACACTACTTTTTCAGTATACAAGCAGTTTCAAAGTTTAATTTGCTCAAAGACAACTTGATACTTAGCTGTGATATACTATCATATTGGGAAAGTTGAATTAGGTCTTATTTTTTTATTTCTCTGTTATGGAAAGGCCATATAGAATCTTTATCACTGTAGTTGTGTATTTGCTCTGGTTGTGTTTATGAACCAGGGAACTGACAAACAAAGATCACACACTGATGAACATTCTAATGCTGTTTGTGTACAGAGTGTGACACTGTTGACAGATTCAAAGAGAAGGTGTTATTTTCAGAGAGTGTTCTAAAGCAAATGTATTGTTTGACACTTTAAATTAGGCAGGAAGTTAAGATGTCCTTCAAGTAAAGCAGTTATTATCGACCACTGCAGATCTTTTTAGTAGGAAAGCTGCAGTTGCCTTAAATATCCAGTTCAGCATAATTCTAAATTTATGTAGTTTTGAGGTTACACACAGTTCTGTCACCTAACCAATATGATCTGCTCTCAAATTGTACATTACAGTATGTTCTTTCTCAGAATTCTAACCATCACAGTTTAAAGCAGGGAACCCTTTGACATCTACACATCAGGGATTTCAGGGGAATATTCAGGCTATCGTGACTTTAACCAGCCTTTTCCTGTCTGATGTGTGTGTTCAGATTAATTCCCGCCCTTTATGTGTGCTTGACTCGTTTGGTGATATTGGGGTTTTGCAGTGGTTACATGTATACCACGGGGGACTTGTTTACTAGATATCATGTTTATTTGAGGTATAAGGCATGCACATTTGTCCCAGTTTCGCAATTAGGGTTCTCATGCGTGTATGTTTATGCATGTTTGTGTTGACAGATTCAAAGAGAAGGTGTTATTTTCAGAGAGTGTTCTAAAGCAAATGTATTGTTTGACACTTTCAATTAGGCAGGAAGTTAAGATGTCCTTCAAGTAAAGCAGTTATTATCGACCACTGCAGATCTTCTTAGTAGGAAAGCTGCAGTTGCCTTAAATATCCAGTTCAGCATAATTCTAAATTTATGTAGTTTTGAGGTTACACACAGTTCTGTCACCTAACCAATATGATCTGCTCTCAAATTGTACATTACAGTATGTTCTTTCTCAGAATTCTAACCATCACAGTTTAAAGCAGGGAACCCTTTGACATCTACACATCAGGGATTTCAGGGGAATATTCAGGCTATCGTGACTTTAACCAGCCTTTTCCTGTCTGATGTGTGTGTTCAGATTAATTCCCGCCCTTTATGTGTGCTTGACTCGTTTGGTGATATTGGGGTTTTGCAGTGGTTACATGTATACCACGGGGGACTTGTTTACTAGATATCATGTTTATTTGAGGTATAAGGCATGCACATTTGTCCCAGTTTCGCAATTAGGGTTCTCATGCGTGTATGTTTATGCATGTTTGTGTGTTTGTGCAGCTGGCTGGTGTATGAACCGCTGGAGTCTAGAAGAGCTGGTTAAGAGGGACCCAGAAAATTTTCTCATTCTGCTGCAGCAAATTCTCAGAAAAGCCAGAGAAGTGAGTACACATGTAGACGTACCGCTAACTAAACGGAATGCTACACCCGCAGAAAAGAAGTGATATTTTTGTGATCAATGTCCTCTGTGTTTAACTCACTATGCCCCCTTGTGGGCTCTGCAGGCTATGACAATAAAGATTGCATCTAATCTATGCTAAGATATTGGTGTTGTTCATAATTAAATTAAGTTCAGCAAAACCGTATTTTAATTTATTTTAGATGTGATCAAGAACACATTGTGAGTTTGTCTGTAGGCGCTATGTAAAAGTGGTGATGCTGGATATCTTTCTCTGCTGTTTTAGGTTCAGCAGGAGTGTCATTATGAGCTTGTGGCCCCCTTGGCTCTCATGTTTGAGTCCACACTTCTGCAGGTAAATTTTCATGGACACTGGGTTGATTATTCAAGAACAAATTGACCAAAGCCTTGATAATCAGAAACTAAGAATTATTGATCTAATTTTACTGAGCTAATGTCGAAGACAGGGAAACAGTATTTGCTATTTGCGTGCGCCTATTAGGAAATATTGAATGCTTCTCAGTGTTCATTCTCACAAATAATTAATCTAAATATACTTTTTTTTTTAATTATAATTAAATTGTATAATCAAATTATAATGAAATGTTGTTATTAAAATCGTGAAATAAAAGTTGTAGGGTTTCGAAAAATGTAAAACATAGAAACCTTACATAAAATGAAGAAGAAATATATACAATTTTATATTTTTATACATGTATATAATAATGTATATAAATACGACGATTTTATATATTTTACGTATTTACAATACTTCCAATCTACAGCTTTATTTTGTAGTAAATTTGAGAAATTCATGTACATTTTCAGATGCTTTTCAGATTGTAAAGCATAATTTAGTATTCAATTAGAAAACTGGAAAAAATATAAGCATTTTTACTAGTGGACTTTTAGACCCCACAAATATTGCTTTAAACCTCTCAGTTTGAGCCTTATCTCTTTCGCCCAGAAGCTAATGTTAATGAAATCACATATGCGTCTGTTTTCTCTCTGCAGATGCCTCTTTGTCCATCTGATGGAGAGATTCTGACAGAAGCTTGTGAAGTGTTTCATGACTTTCTAGCATGGCCTGAACCCTACTGTAGTGTGTGCCGTAACCTGCTCTCCACTTTACATCAAGAGCTTAGAGCTCCAGGTAGCACATTTACATCAATAAACACAAGATAAACTTTTATCAGTCACCATCTTAGCACCTTAATAAAGAGCAGCTTGTTAACCTTAGTCCCAATCTACTAATTCATAGTATTTAACAGAAAAGTACAGTGGCATACTTCTCAGTGGTTTCAAGAAGCATTGCAGCTGTTTTTCAAAATAAGTGCTACACTTGTTTATCAGTTTTAAGAGCACCAATAGTACCTTAAGGATTACTTAACTTCCACTCTAACTTCAGTGCTTTCACTAAGATTTTGTTTTGTTACATAATGTTGAAATCTGATGAAATAATGTTCTTGTGTGCATTTGCTTGTATCAGGGATTTCGTACCACAGGCTGGTAAGAGAGGAACAAGGCCTTGCCACCTCCAGTCAGCGTTCTAAGATCACGTGAGTGTGTTTTAACAGAAGCAGGAGGAAATCCGGTTGTGTCAGTTATTGCTCAGCCCTTTTTGGTTGCAGTCTTCACCACTCGCTTCCTGTGTCAGTTCTTAGATATTCAGAATTTGTCTTATTGCAAGATTACTTCTCTGTGTGAAACTTCAGCATCAAAGGTTGTGTCCAGTCAAATGTATTGCAAATAAAATTATTTGTTTGCAATTTATTTGTCATGAATACAATCTTTAGCCTAGTGTTTAATTGACAAATTAATGTTTAATTATAATGACTTTTTTCATTTTGCACAATAGTTCAAAATGAATGAATATTAATATTAATAATAGATGTAAATAAGACAAATGTTTCTTGAGCACCAAATCAGCATAATAGAATGATTTCTGAAGGATCACGTGACACTTAGTAATTCAAAATTGAGCTTTGCCATCACAGGAATAAATTACATTTTATTATATATTAAAATATAAAATAATAATATCTCACAATATTACCATTTTACTGTCTTTTTGCCTTGGTGAGCATTCTTTCAAAAACATTTTAATCTCAGTGACCCCAAACTATTAAATGGTAGTGTAAATCAGGGATCTTCAGCTCCAGTCCTGGAGGTCCAGTCTCAGCCAAGTTTAGCTTTAACCCTAACCAAAGACATCCATACAGGCTAATTAATGTGTTCAGAATTACTTGCAAATTACAGACAGAACTAAAGTCTGCATAACACTTGCCCTACAGAACTGGAGTTGAAGACCCTGGTGTAAATAATACCATGGTATTACCACAGTACTATGTTTATCATGGCTGGCCATTTCAACTTAGCACAGCCCTCCCTATGATCTGTCTTGGATAAACATCTGTCCCATAATAAGAGCATGCCTCTTTTTTTTTTTGTTTATACAAAATATATTTTTCTAAGAAAATAATTCTTAAACTTAAACTGTTGATGTTCTACTAAAATGAAATACACTAGAAAATAACAAATGTAATGTGGACACAAGTAATGTGTTTTATCTGTGTTTCTGCTACACAACAGTGACCTTTTCTGATGTTTTCTCTGTTACAGTACGGTGTTGTTGATGAACCCGGCTGAGGTGCCTGCTGAGGTCCTGTCTGTGGCCGAGCAGCTCAGTGGAGCGGAGGTCTCACAGAGAGAGAGTAGCATTACACTCATTAAACACAGCTACCAGGCAGTGCTCGGAACTAAATACCCACTACAGACCATCAGCGATGCTCTACAGGTACACCACACTGTTCCACGGCACATGAGATGATGTTTCCTGCTTTAATGTGCTCCAAAAAACTTGATACAGAGTGCATGTGCGTCAGACTGTGACGGAGTATGTGTGGGTGTATCACTTTGTGGGTGTCAGGAAGTGTGTGATCTGATTGGTGGGAGGGGGGTGAGAACTGGATGTGTGATCAAAATAACTCATATGTGGGCTGATGGGTGGCTAATGGGGAATAAATAGATGGATTGAGTGGGAGTAATGACGGGGTTGAGCTTGTTATAATAGTTTTGCTTGCAAATGGCGAAATTTATTGTAATTATGTCAGATTACTTGGAAGTTAAAATGAGGGGTAGCTTCATTTGAAACACAGGTAAACATTCAACGAATTCTGACTCTGAATGACTTGCAACAACATAAGAGGTTACAGTACATGACTAAGTTGGTTCCTTTTTAGTGCCTTAGTGATGATGAGTTGGCACAGATCCTGTCCTCAGTGAGTGACCTTCTAGAGTCTGCAGCAGCCATAACGGATATAGCTAAAGCTCGAGAACATGTCAAGGGTGGTCTGGAGGCGCTGCGAGAAAAACTTGGCATACCAGCCTCCAACGGCAAGGCTTCAGATGGTACAGTCTCACTTCCTACTTATAGCCCTCCTCACAAACCCTAAAGTGCTTTGAATTGTTACCAGACTTGTGTCCAACCTTATACAAATTTAAAAAATAGTATTATGAAATCTTAATTTTTTTTTTTAATTCCTTTTCACTTTATAAATCAATGGTTCTTAACCAAGGTAGAGGGGCCCACTAGGGGTCATTAGCAAACTTCCAGGAGGCTCCAATTAACAAATTCTTGTTAAATGCTTAAAAAATGGCTGTACAAGATTAAACAGTAGACATTATATTTTTGACTTTATTTTTATTACAACAGGAGTACTAGAGGTACATATCAGATTAAATAGGGCCTTCAAATTTTGTCTTGGGCAAACGGAGCATCTTGGAGACAAAAAGGTTGTGAACCACTGTTCTAAACTGCACTATTAAAGTTATTGTCAATCAAAGTCATTCTTATAGTAAAATTAATTACTACTATACCATCAATTACTGTTCACAAGCAATCAGTAATATAAAAAAAGAATAAGTTTCTACATACACACATGGAATGCAGCATTATAGACTATATGGCTGAAGTATGGGGACAACTTTTATTTAAAGCATGTGACTAATTCAGCCGAAATTTCAGCAAACATTTTAGTACAATAGGACATGTTCACAAAGCAAGGTCCATATTGAAACAATTTACCGAGTCTGATGGGAAAGAGCTTGACTGGCCTGCACAATGCTCAAGTTCATTGACCACCTGTGAGATTAATTGAAACCTCAGGTATTAGCCAGGCTCCATCACCCATCACCTGACCTCTCTTATATTCTGTTGACTAAATGGGATCAAATCCCTGTAGCCATGTTTCCCAGAAGAATGAAAACTGTTATAGCAGCAAACTACCTATTAAAGCCAATGGCTTTGAAATATTTAGGTGTCCACATACTTTTGGCCATGAGAATTGGTGGTCTACATCTTATAGAGTTTCATGGTTGTTGCTTGGTGACATACTACACTGTTGGTCTGGGCAGCAGTAGTACATATTACCTGGCACCAACTCCTAGAAACTTATCCAAGATGGATGGCCAACATGAAGCAATACAGCTGATGTTTTTTCCACTTGGGAAACAGTGGTGTGTTGGATTTGGAGTGGGCTAGTGATTAATGAGAAAGACTTTGTTGTGTTTGTGCCACTAGGGGTTCTTCAGACGCTCGGCATTCCAGCAGCCAAGTGCTACACCTTCCATTGGTACAAGGATAATTTTGGTAAGACACTGAATCCAAGCCAGTCCCATTTCTTTCTGCCATGGGCTTATTCAAACATTTGTTTGGCTATTTTGGAATTATAAACATTCGAAGGTTGCTTTCCAGTCACTTTGATTTAGTTTATAATGTCATTAGGGGTTTTCATGAGTTGTAAGTTAATCCTCCAGCTAATAATAACCATCTGAGTCACGATTTTCCTTCTTGTTTTTTTTTTTTGCTAGATGTTAGTGTGTACTGGCTGCATTGTTTAATTGGATTTAATTGGACATTAGGTATATTACGGTAATACATGTTTTAATGAGTGCAGGTGTTGCTTGGAAGCACATGGCACTGAGGAAGGGTTAATACCCGAAAACGTTCTGCACCTTTGCATTTTTATATACATATTTTTGTGACCTCTGAGCAATAAATGTTATAAGCCTTTTTGGCTGAATTTGGACGAGTGCGGATCTCTTTCATCTTCATATTTTTTTTTATTTTGGATCTATGCACCCTATGTTATTTGCCTACTGGATGTTTGGATGAGTGTTTGGCGCTACAACCTTTTCTAACTGTGGATTAATTGGATTTCAAACCACATATCTGATCGCTGATCTATGCATCCCAGCCTGGCAAAACTGGATAGATGGGTAGTTTTAGTGGGGTTTTGGGCAAAACTTTTAAATTGCAACAAGCTTTTTTTGCTGCTGGTCTGAGCTAACTTTAGATCTCTAATAAAGTCCTAGATTACTTGCACACACTTTGAAGTCAAAACAAAGATGATTTTGTTTTCATTGATTGTTATTACATTCTTATGTAATTTTTTGATACAGAAACATTGGTATTAATTTGTCAACAGGATCTCAGTGTGAACGGGATGGAGGACAGCACTAATGACATAGCCAATCTCCTGGGAATGCTGGATCCCTGGTATGAGCGTAACACTCTGAGCCTGCTGGAGCTTCCGGTTAATGTGGTGTGCCAGGTGATACTTTCATATCCACACAGACTCATTCACACGAACAGAGAGTGCGTACATATCTAAATAATCAGTAAGAAGAACAGTAAATCTTTTGTTATATGGCAAGCTTTTGACACGGCATACATGCACACACAAAAAAAACACATCCCATAAAACCACTCATATGAGGAACTTGCGTGTGTGAAAGTGTTTTTTGAATTGTTTTGATTATCACCATGGCCTAAACAAAATGTCCTTATTAAATTACAGATGAAAAATATATTCATGTCAAATGTTCTGTCCATAACAGCAGACATCCAAGATTGATTCAGACTTGTCTGAAGGTGCTGGTGAGGGGCGTTTACCGATATTTGCTGACCTGGTGCTCTATTACTGTCGTCACGCCGCCCGCCCTGCCCTCATTCAGCTCTATCAAGCAGAGGTGAATCAAAAATAAAACATGCCATTTCCTCAATCTGTGGCAATTTCAGTCATAGACTTTAAAACTGCACCATAAAAGTTACATAGACTTTTGAGTTATAAATCTTTTTTTTTTTTTACAGCATGTGAGGCAATATGTGGGGCTCCTTTCTCCAATGTGCTGTGAATTCTGTGTTTAAAAAAGTGTACTTTCAATCAGATTTGTTCGTTTCACTGCAAAAATGACAGGCTGAATTATTTTAGAGCTCTGTGAAATCTACATACATTTTTAGATGCTGCTTGGTGTTAACTAATGACTCTACAGTGACATTGTTTCATTCATCTTTTCTGCACTGTTTTGTAACTTGTCTTGCATCTTATACTGCCATGATGCAATGCGGTGGTTTCATAAAAGTTTAAATCTTACTCTTGGTTGTAGTTGACACTAGCTGGAGGAGAGAGACGGACTGAAGTGTTTGTTCACTCTCTGGAGCTCGGACACACAGCTGGTACAAGAGCCATCAAGGCCATGGGTGAGTGCGGACAAACACCAGCATATCAGATCAAAATTTGTTTTGTCTTTGAATGGTCTTTTCACATCATCTCATGTTTGCTTAGTATGCTTTCCCTTCAACAGTTTTAAATTTTTGGGGGGGTGGTATATCGAAGCAATCACAAGGATAATTTTCCTTTCTTCCTTTCTTATATA